TCACTGACCTCCACCCTATAGAAGCAGGTGGAGTCTGTGAATGGTGCGTTCACTGACCTCTATCCTGTACGACTAGATAACCTTGGACTTTTTAACACGCGGCTCTTTATGTAAAAACAAAACGATGTGTTTATTTCCTGTTAATAAACATTCAGTTTGTTGTTTCTGTTTTTGAGAAGATTAAAAAAAATAAAAAAATCAGACCACCAGTTGGGTCTGATGGACACACAGAACCCAGCCGAGGACAAACGTCTCACCCCATCCGTCCGTAGGCTTTGCTGTAGTTCGGGTCGATGCTGATGGCCCGTTCACAGTCCTGCACGGCGCCGGCGTAGTTCCCCAATTTGCTGTAGGCAGCCGCTCTGTAACCATGACAACAGGAACACTATCAACAGTCAGAATCTGTGACCCAGAAGAACGCTTGTCCCGTCCCAACTTAACGGGATACGTTTGTCCGTTTTACCTCACCTGTACCGTCTGAGCCGTGACATCAGAGACTCAGTGCTGGGCCAGAAAACACTTGGATCAGGCCACACCTGGCCCGCGGGCCGTGTCTTTCAACACGCTAGATGTTTATCTTTGCCCTTTTTTTAAACCAGCTCGACTTCTTTGAGCTAAAGTTCTGAGGTTTATGAAAGAAGGATGAGACTTTGAGCCAGACTCCTGCAGGAGAACTACTTCCTGTTCCTACTTCCTGTTCCACAGACTGATGTCACTGCTGATGAGGTACAGAATTCTGATACTTTGACCAGATGGCTGAAATATCCCTTTAACTCATGTTATAAAACCTGGAGACAGGTCCAGAGACGAGGCGGTCCATGAAGGACAACGTCAGTCCTGATAGGTTCAAGTCAAAACGAAAAACACCAGAACCTCGGTGCTGTCAATCAAAGGACGGACGAGGACAGGTCCGTCCCTCACTCAGAGGATCGTCTCGTCCCCCAGTCAGAGGACGGACCCGTCCCTCAGTCAGAAGAAGGACCCGTCCCCCACTCAGAGGACCGTCCCGTCCCTCAGTCAGAAGACGGACCCGTCCCTCAGTCAGAAGACGGACCCGTCCCTCAGTCAGAGGACGGACCCGTCCCTCAGTCAAAGGACGGACCCGTCCCCCAGTCAGAGGACAGACCCGTCCCTCAGTGGACCCACCTGTTGCAGTAGTAGACGGCGTTCTGGGGGTTCAGGGCGATGGCCTTGGAGTAAAACTCGACGGCTGCAGCGAAGTTCTCCACCTTCATGTGGTCGTTACCTGCAGGACAAACCCAGGTTCAAGTTCTGACGTGTGAACCGGTTCACACTGAACCTGCGTGACGCCATCAGGTCCGACTGAAGCTCAGACGGTTCTACAGCGAGACAACCTACAGCAGATTTTTTTATCAGAGCAAAGTGTTTCATGTTGTTTAAATGTGTTGGTAAACAGTAAACAACAATAAATAAACAATGTTTCTGCTGCCGGGTCGTTCACTTCAGAACCTTTATGTTTGTGGAACATGACAAGAAACCAGAATCAGCTGTTTTCATTCAAAACATTTTCTTGTTTTGAAACAAATTTGTCTCTTTAGCGTCACATTGTGAGTTTTATGGGTCAAAGTTCTGCTGATGTTGGGTCGGACTCACCGTCACTTTTCAACCTCTCCGCCTCGGCCCTCTGCTCTTCTGTCGGAGAACTGGGCTCAGGGTCGGCGTTGGACTGTGGTGGGGCTGGAAACTGTTTCACACAAGAACCGGGTCAGACAGGACCGCCGACGAGGCGATCGGTGTTTTACAAAGTTTTATTTAAACGTTTTCAATTCTGCTTAGTTTCTGCTGGAGTCTTTTCATGCTACTTTTAGCTATCGTTATGCTACTTTTAGCTATCGTTATGCTTTTAGTTACCGTTACGCTACTTTAAGCTACCGTTATGCTACTTTAAGCTACCGTTATGCTACTTTAAGCTATCGTTATGCTACTTTAAGCTATCGTTATGCTACTTTTAGCTATCGTTATGCTACTTTTAGCTATCGTTATGCTACTTTAAACTACAGTTATGCTACTTTTAGCTATCGTTATGCTACTTTTAGCTA